AACTATATGAAAAAATACTCTATATTTACTTACGTATGTACTTCAATCTTGAAAAATGCTAATATGTCAAAATATTTATAGAAAACGTTTTATTCTTGTTAAAAAATCATTATCACTTAAAACTCTATAAACATTTAAAAGTAAATTACATTGCAAATTATGAATAAAATATACGTAAATTTTGTACTTGTAAATAATTATTTATACAAAATTAGATAGTAAACAAAACATGAATTTGTTTTATAAATGAAATAAATTATTTTAGTTAAAGATTCAAGAAAATTTTCCGTTTAAATAATTAAAACATTTTCTCTCATGGAAATAAACAAAATGTATTGAAAATTTTAGATAAACAAAATATTTGTTAAATTTAATTCTTATTAAATGATATAATTTAAAAATTTTTTCAATATTCATTTTTTCATAATTATCAACGAATATAAGTATATAACGAATTTTAAAAATTCTATTATATTTAACTGATATAAGTAAAGTATTTAACAGAAAACATTGAAGCATACATTTAGATAAACTTTATTATTTGTGACTATGATATTAAAACCTATTTATATTATTATTTTTTCTTAAATAGTTCACTAAATCAAATAAACCATATAAAGTTATTTCATTATTTATATTACATTTAAATCATATTAAGCATACGACATTATAATTATCAATCGCATTAACAAAAAGTAAAGCCGAATAGAGATTAAATTGTTTATTAAATAATTTAATTCCACACGTTTTTTTATTTGCAGATAATTTTTGTAATTTATATATGCTTATATTACTTGAATAATGATTAATATGTATTAAAAATTGCTTAATAATTTAACAAATATAATTTCTTAAAATGATAATATATGATAATATAATTTCGTAAAAGATAATTTTTGTTTACATCGTTACACAGGTATAGCAGAACAAACTAGTTTGATCAAATTTGTTTCATGGCTTACACTTCTAAATATTATTAGATCGATCTGTTAACTAGAGGAAATATAAGATTGAAGAACTAATTATCATGCGACAATTGAAGTCCACATTTAGAGTCTATAAAATACGCAAAATTTTACAATTTGCAAGATAACGACACTACCAGAGATAAACAAGGAAATTGTGTAAATGTGTACCTATCTAACGTTTTTTCATCAGAAATCGTTGTTTGGATTATTGAATACAAATGCAACAGAACGTGTTACCATTGTATAATGATGAAGATAGGAGTTCGACTAGGAACAAATTAAAAAGAAGGGCATTCGTAGTATTTTATTCTGAGAATCGCTTAAATAATAATGGAACAATTACTTGATTACCATATAATCTTTGCTACTGTTTTCTATCGAGATAATCAGTAAACGATTCGAATGATGCAATTATGGATATATGTCTCTTTTATTTAAATTTTTACGTATGGTTAAGAAGTATTATGTTTTAAATTTTATTTTAAACGATGATTTAATGTGAACGAATTAAAACAAATTTTTATGCTTTCAATATTGTTCCCCCTCTTTTTAAAGAGTTTTTAATTCCTTCAATGATAATTTATAATAATAGTAAAAATAAAATTAAAACATATTTATAAATGATTGTGATATTCAGTGGAACATTTAATAGATAATATATTTTTAAAGAACAAATCCCAAATAGTGGAAATAATTTATATTAAAAGTATATTTTTAATAGAAACTACTTGTGTAAAAATATATTTTATTTATAAAACTTAAAAAAATATATTATTCAGATATTATTTAATTCATTTCAAATTTTTGCATTTTATGTAATGTTCAATTTATTTTAGAAAATATTTAAAATTTCACTGAATTGTAAGGGAAATATTTCAAATGATAATTATGTGAGCCTGGTGGGTAAGTCTCATAGGAATCGCTTCCAATTATTATATTTTGAAAAATATTTCAGAATTAAATTTCTCTGGTCAGATATAAAAATCAAATTTTTGTACGCTATGATACGGCGATTCAAATGCTCAAGACCTGAAGAAGCCAGTTAATAGGCGACATTGAAATTCAATATCTAAGATTAGCATAAAATTGCAACAAGGTGTAACTAAATAAAATTATGAAATGTATATTATGCGCATAATGTCGTTGTTTGTTAAAGTTACTAAATTATTTTCAAATTCCAAATATTCAAAAGTACATAAATGGCTCGGTTCTATGATAAAGGATAAGAGATATTCGACATAATAGTAAAATTGTAGCAGATAACTTTAATGCACTTTTAGATATAATAGATAAAAATGCTTTGTTTACAAGATTTGGTCATTACTAGGAACTGTATTAGTATTATTTATGGGAGACAACAAGAACAAAAATTGAAGAAGAATGAATACCGTGATAGGGAATTAAAATGTACGGTTATGCAACGCTATTGAAAAAAATAGAATAATCAATCAAGAAGACAAAATTATAAAGAAATAGTGAAAAACTATTGGTCATGGAAGATTAAGAAAAAGAGGCACTTGAGCAAGCATTGAAAGTAAGAAATGTGATAATAGAGGAAATATAGCACATCGCTGAATAGAGTATCTAAATTATTTCATGGGAAAGCGGGGTTACTAACATTAACTTTTACATATACATACATTTATAGTTATTATTAGGTTAGAAGAGAAGAGAAGATAATTTGGTTTCATATAAGATCCTATAATTATGACTATTTTATAAATACGGGCAATAGAAAATGATACTTCTATTTCTAAAATATTTTATCATTATTAAATTTTTTCATTATTAAAATTTATCTATTTAGAATGATATATAATTATAACAAAAAATACAATTTAATTGTTCGGATTCCACTCCGAAATTAATATTAAATTAAAGAAATTAACAGAATAAAATCACAATACATCTTCGCAAATTATTATTCAACTGAACTATTTAACACAGGGAACCATGAAAATATTACGTTTGTACATATAAATCAAATTAATTAAAAAATTGCAATTACTATTTGGTTATTTTTTTTAAGTCAACATGACTTCAGCGTATTTTACGTTTTTCACGATGACTTACTTTAAAAAATATAATAAATTAATTTAACAGTTTGATAACAAATCATAGAAATAAAACGTTAACATCTTCATGGGATCTTTATTTTAATTTTTGATAAATATACATAGAGATATTATAATTTTGAGTGTTTCAATTAGAGAAGGAACGATTAGCATTGCTAATATTAAATAATCCATATTAAAATTTGACGTTGAATATACCTTAATGTTGAATTATGTATTAATTGTTGCATTATTTATTAAAAATTATTAAAATTTGATTCGATATATCTACATAATAATTTCTTTTCAGAATAATATAGATGTTTTCACTTATTATTGTACAGTTAGTATTTGCCATTTGCAAATTTCAATATTATCCAAGACAAAATGATAGTGATGATATTTGTGCTGCCTCCAATAGGTTTAATGAACAATTACTTTTTTTTTATGCAAATTCCTTACAGTAGTTTGACATGTTACATTTTGATCCGTCGCAAAAATTGTATAAAAATAATCATATACTCATAAATATATACACGAAGTACTCAATTTGTTAGTTTTATAAAATACCTGAAAATAAAAATTTTAAATTAAAAAATCATTTAAATGAAAGAATAAAGTAATTTTATTCTTTCTAAAAATTGTAAACAGTGTAACAATATATTTAAGCAATTAGTAAAATAAAAAATTATATTATATTTTTAATATCATAACGATAAAGTATTTTATATATAATTAAACCAATTACTATGCGATAATTTTTCATATTTAGATATTCAATTTAATTGATAATTTACTTATTTATATGTATTTAAATAATAAATTTAAGATAAATATACGTATTTAGAAGAAAAGAAAATTGAATTGGAATAACGTCTTTAAAATTCAACGCTATTTAATATGTATATTGACGAAGGGCAATCGCTTTAGCTGAAAATTGTCATTGGGGTCCCTTGAATGGTTAGGTATTACCCATAATATCAATAAAATGTCATTTAAAACTGAAGTCTGGTTTTTATAGATAATAATTTTAGCACAATAAGAGTAGGTGCGCGCAAATATCCTCGATATCTTAGAATTTTGATTGTTGGTCTAGAAAGTATAATATCAAATATGTAGGCATGTTTCACTTTACCATTACGAGTTAGGATATAGATGTGCATATTTCTTATGTGCATAAGATAAAATATATAGGCTAATTTTATCGATACCCGAACATGTTCAAGTTTTCTAAAGTATAGGCTAGGAAAGTTAAAAAGATGGATAATAAGTTTGGTAAATTACTACAGAATATAATTTAATGTATATCACATATAATAATTATCGAACAAAGGCTATACAATATCTGAGATTAATTTTTATATAATTAAATTAAATAATTAAGAGTATACATTATAAAAATCGCTGATATTTATATATGATTTTATATAAATAAAAAAGTTATGTACGTAAATAATAATAATAAACGTTAGTAAAATTTTAAAAAAATTCAAGGTCATAATTTTATTTACAAATAATTTTCGGCATAAAAATGGTGTAAATAATTCAAAATGTCAACTATTATGATTAACAAGATTTTTTTTAGAGTGCTATCGATATTTTGGCATACTTGGATCTTTCTAACTCATCTTTTAGTTCAGTCGTTTGCAAAAAATTCATGGCTGCCCCCCCCCCCCCTCAGTACTTCATGTAACAAATGAACGCCAGTCACTATATCTCATTACAAGCAGTAAGGACTCAAAAAAGTCTCAAAATATTCTCAAAAAATTCTCTTTCCTTTTCATTCGTTTTGTTCTGTGACAGTAATATGAAAAAAGGTGAAACAAAATTTAAAGCGACCGAGAATGTTGGAAAAGAGGCAATGGAAGCAAAGCGGAATCAACGCAATACAGGCAAAGTTAGTGGGAGGGTGGTCAGGAGAGAGAGAGAGAGAGAGAGAGAGAGAGAGAGAGAGTGAGTGAGAGAGGGGGGGAGGGAGAGAGGAAGAAATTTCGGAGTGTTGCGATGGTGTGGCAGCGCGCAGCATCGGGGAACTTTGGCGGCACTGTTGCCAAGCGGAAATAGCCGATCGTCACGCATTTGCTCCGGCGTTTCCTACTGAATTGGCTGGCGAGAAAAAAAGAAAAGAAACTAATTAAGGAAAATCACTGAAAACCTACCTATATTGGTACATTAGTGTTTATATTAGGAACTTCCATACTCAAAAGATCTCTATCGTTCTCGTGTAAAGGTACGTTTGTGCAAGTGAATGCAGCACGAGTAACAATTCTTGACAGCTCGAATGAATGCCCGCCAGTATCTTGCATGTGCACCGACTTTGAACGCGTTTTGGCTGTGTAAGAATTTTTTGTGGTGACGTCATGCAAGTCAATGTAATGCTCGGGTATTCCCGAGGTTGGTGCATCTGTCGAAAATGTGCGATTTTGCGTGGCTCGCAACCTGCGTAATGAGTCGTCCGAATTCATAAGAGAACGATAAAGTGGCGACATCTCTGCTATTACTGACGCCAAGGGTCAAGTACTTTCAGAATATCCTAACTTCGAAGTAAATAGACACCGTATGTGTTATAAGATATTCCATATTTAATTTTTCATAGTTACATTCAAGAGAATTGCTTTACTCTATCGATTTTTCCGTGAAATATGTTAAATTTTGATTTGATAGTTTAGTTATTTTCTCATCTTGTATTGTCCATCTTTTCTTAAAATTTACTTTTCACTCATGAATATTATATTTGTATTTTCATATACTTGTATTATCATTTCAAATTTGTACACATTAATACCTTGTGAACGCATAATTTTATATTGCTTTATACTAAAAAATGTCAAAATATTTAAATATGAAATTTAAAAATTATATATTGAATAAAATTATTTAATAAAAACATCGAACCATCTACATTACATTCAAATATTAAACAGTTACTTACAATAAAAATATTTTCTCAATATCCAGAACCATATTTTTATCTTAAGCATTTAAAGTGACAATTATACAGTTATGATACATAAATTTGATATAGAATTATGTTTAAACTCGTGAATAACAGTTGATATAGTTATATTAATTTAAATGTGATAAAAATAACATTAACTATTGAATGGTATATAAAATTGTCGCAACTGTATACAAAAAATTGATAATATTTTAGCAAGCAGTAATAATAATAAAATTAATGACAATAATAAAAACAACTTTATTAATTTAATAAGTTTATTTATAATTATATATATTACACTTCATAAAATATTTGTAATTGTTTTACATGGTGAAATATATTTATTATATGTGCAGCACTTATAGGATTTTCCTTTACATGTACTATTATTAATTGACCGTGTTAAAGTGCTGGAAATTCTGTAATCAATAAATGAATAAAGAAATATGATTTATCCTTTATGTTACGTTATTTATGTATTTTATTATGTACTTCATCATAAGGGAAAAATAAAAATTTTGTATTATAAGATTTACTGTTAGAATTTATATTTTTACATATTTTCAACTGAAGTATTAAACTTTTATTTATTCTTTATAATTGAGAACATATATGCTCATTATATTATTGTTATACATTAGAATAAAATAAGAAAACATAAAAATTACTATTATCTCAGTTTGAATTTTGAAATTAAAAGATTTTTGTATTATTAAACTATTTTTTTATTTACAGTTACATATTTTGTTTATTTAAATGGATTGTAATGTTTTTTATTGCAGCAAGTCGCAAAAGAACTTAATAAATGAAACCTTTTAATCTTAAAATTGCACCGATATTTAATATGCTTGTAATGTCTGATTGACACGACGAATATCACGTTTACATTGGGCAAGTAATGATATCCCATACATAATCCTGTTCAAGCTAATACATTTCAACTAATAAAAGCAAGTGCAATGTAAAAGAACGCCATGTGAAACGGTACTAGGAAACGGTAGCCACCCTTTAAAAGCGGAGGATCATAGGTCAAGTGGACTCTATACTGTCGCATCTAAGCGCAAGATTTGCATTATTATCACTCTACGCCAATGATAAAATGTGTGAGATCGCGCCTAAGATTGCACAGTGGCAAAAACAGGCTAAATAATTGACAATTGCTCGGATTAACGGAAATGCGTCATTAATTGTGGCAGTTCTTTTTTCACGAATTTTCAAAAGTTATCTCCCACGCCATGCTATCGACTTGTTCACGCTCGCTTAGTCGTCCCAGCACAAATTTAGCATCATTCACCTAATGTCTCGAGAGTGCTTCTCGGTACATGAGACAGGGCGACAAAGAGCATTACAACATCGCCGTTCAGTTTTATTGACCAGTCGTATTTAGTATCATCATATCGTCCTTAAGACTAAGTAAATAGCTGGAGATGTGGGGACAATGGCCTCGATGAATCAGTGCCACCCGCGACAATGGGCTTCTTCGTTTATACGACACCAGGAGAAAGTGTCGTTTCATCTGAGTATTAATGGAGAAAAAAACTTCGGTAGGATATTACATTGTGTATTAATGATTGTTAAGCCATTGCTGAGGAAAGCCGAGTGTATGGGTTGATTTTCGCTGAAATAAGTTAATGAGACATCGAATACAGCGAAGAGCTTGGAAGTTGAAATTTTTATAGTTCATTTAAGAACTTTCTCTTTTTTAGCTGCAGTGTGAAAATATTATATTTTTACAAACGTGTTTCACATTTTTAACTTTCACATTTTTAATATTAATATTGAATTGTGTGCTTTAATAAGTATAATTGGTTACTCAATAAAATGATATATAAAATAAAATACTTCTTTCTTCTAGGTAAATCTTCAAGGATAATTTAAAAACTGGTGCTTATTCAGTTTCTTAACTTCGTATAAAAGTAACATTTTTATTTATAACAATTAATTTATAAGCGTAAACAAAAAGTATAAAAAAAAAATTTATGTAGGAAATTATTTAAATCGGTTTCATATAATGATAGAGATGCAATACTATTATTTGGATTTAAGTAAATTAATGTTATCTTAAGAAAAGCGTTTACATATTGTACAAAAATTTTAGGAGGAAAAATTATAGAATATTTCTCTAAAATTTATAATTATCATTTCTACTCGTCATAATTAAGATATGTATTAATGAAACAATAAAAAAGTGAGCTTTTTATTAGTTCTTATATATATTTTTATATTTTTAAAATGCCATTACTAAAATTATATTTTTGGAAATAAAACCATCTATTAAATTTGAAATATTTTGAACTTCGAGGTTTAAAACAATATATTTTAATGATTTTTAAGAAAATATGGAAACTAATATTATTAAATCCTAGGTAATATATTCAATAATTAAAAGATCAATTATATTTGCATGGCTTAATAGAAAATATTTGGCATATTTACTATACGCATTTTGTAAAAAATAAAAATTTAATGCGGAACTTTCATAGATACTTGTATTAATAAGAATCACAAAAATAAGTCGGATAAGTTGAGCTTTTTTTTCAAGCGTATAATGATTCCTATAATAACACTATAAAATTGGATGAATATATATTTTACACGAATTTTTGCTCGAGTATAATTAATTATCATTAATTATTAATATAAAAAGTAGTTACATACACATACATACATATGCTATGAAAGAAATGAATTGGATTTACATTTAATATTGTTATATATATAGTTATACATTGGATTTATATTTAATTATTAATTAATTATAGAAACTTTGAATTTAATTTCTATCTGAATTATGGAAAATACAAATACTTGTTTTTGATCTTATTTTCATTCTTGATATATTCATCTAAAATTACTAAAGAATATGAGTCCTACATAAGTCAAATTGAAACTATATTTTTTAAAAGTTGTTTTATTTAAAACAATTAAACAGTTAAATATCATAAAGACATACAATATCGAAAGTAAAAACAGAGATAAACAGTATGCTTAAATACTTTTTGTGACGAGAACGAAGTGTTTTATTTTCATCGATAATGATAATAGTATTTCCGATACATAAGCGCAAAGACAATCATCCCGGAAAACGCATAAATGTAAAATGTTATCAAATTTAGTTAAAATTGTAAATAATATGCGTACATAATAAAATTGCCGTTGCTTGGAAAGTTAGTAATTTCCGTATCATAGGTAGAAAGGAGACAACATGAAAAGGTAAGAGAGTAGGTATCCTGTGATAAGCGACTTTGCTTAGGTAAACTCGTGTATATGTATATATATATATATATATATATATACATGTATACATGTATGTATACATGAATCCATGCATGCATCTATGTAGGTATGTATGCATGTGTAACAGCGAGTACGCCGGGAAACATGCTGCACGAATGAAATTTTTGATAAATTACAGAGTGAACATAAAGAAAAAGGGACGCCGTCTTGTAATACCATCGCTGTTTCTGAAAATTGTACCGGCTGTATTTGACTCGCTGTGAATGACAATAGATTAGCTTTTCCCTAATGACATCAATTCTTTGTTTATCCATCGTGGAATTAGTGTGTACATATAAAATCAATACTGCCTTCGATTATTTTTCCATACAAATTATCCTTCGTCAAAATGCTTGAATTTACTGTTATGTTACCTTAAACCATTGTTCTATTTAATACGGCATGATTAAATACTCAGACGTATAGAATTATTAAATAAAAATGTGTTTAACACAGTAGCAATCATTACTTTCTAATAGACTTATATTACATGCCTATGCATGCGTTTAATTCATATATCAATTCCTTCGAATTTTTATTATACATTTAGTACTCTTAAATGTAATTAAATTTAAAGTGTACATAGTATGTGAAATATTAAAATATAAAGCATGTAAACTTTAAAAAAGGGTGGAGCATAATGTAATTATAAAATTAAAATAAACGAAGGGAGTCATTAAAAATACATCGCTTGAATTTAAAAATAACATGTGTTACTTTTTTTTAGACAATCTGCTCTTATTACCAATAAATACCTATATTTTTACATTTCTCATATAAGATTGTTAAAGCAATTTTTGTGCAAAAATGAATTTAAAGTTACATAAAATATGAAAATAAATGTGAAATTTGTAATATTAATGTTTCAATTTTGAAAAACAAAATGTAATAAATCACAACTATCGATATTATATACATACGAAATTGATAAATTATTATTTAATAATATAATAAATGTGCACTCATAAAAAATATTAAATAAACAGATAGTAGTTTTACTTTTTATTTGTAATATAAACAACAAATTGTAAACAGCAAATTGTAATAATAAGTAATAAGATTAAATAAGTTATACTCTATAGTGAATCTGAATTTCTTAATAAGAAACATTAAAGAAAAATTTTTAATCTTTTTACTTATTTAATTAAAGAATTACTTAGTAATTTTCGAGGTTTAAGAAACATTTCCAAGTTTAGTAATTCATATAAATATATACTGTAGTAATTTAAGCAAGAAACTACAAAACACTACATTTTAATTTACTTGCATTTTAATTTAAAAATAAACAACTTTTTTAGTTTTACTCTTCATCTAAAAGTTATAATCCATAATTTATTAGAATTCAAATTAACCTTTTAAATTAAAATGTATCTTTAAATTCGCGAAATTTGTTTTATAAAAACTTTTATAACCTATGTTTTACAACTTTAAAAATACTTTATCAATGTTTTGACTTATAATTTCATATATTATTTTT